TGTCCAAATTAAGAAGTCAAGTAAGCAGTTGGACATATGTGTTTGAAAGTCAAGGAAAAGGTCCTGGCTAAAAGCACGTATTTCAGGGTTAGGTATTGGATGAAATTTAAATCCCACCACGTGGCTGAATGAGACCACCTAGGGAATGAGAATAGATGGCAAAAAGAGTATCCAGGGACTGAGCCCTGACACACTCCAGCATTTATCAGAAAGGAAAATGAAGAAGAACCAGTAAGAGACTGAGGAGTGGTCAGAAAGACCAGGAGGTAAGAGCGGAGACCAGATAAGTGAAGTATCATGGAAGCCGAGAAAAGAGTGTACAGTATTTCAAAGGACAGCATGACCAGCTGTGCTGAATGCTTCTGATTGGTTAAGGGGGATGAGACCTGAGAGATCATGGATTTAGCAATATAGAGGTCATCGGGTTTCCTGAGCAAAACAGACATTGCATGTTGATATTCCATCATTTTAATTGTATTTAATAGTCAACTGAGTTTGGACTAGGCATGGTGGCTTACACCTGTAATCTCAGCACTTTGGGAGGCTGAGGCAAGAGAAATGCCTGAGCCCACAGGTTTGAGACCAACCTGGGCAACATGGCGAGACCTTGTCTCTATAACAAATAAAATAAAAATCAGCTGGGTGTAGTGGCATGTGTCTGTGGTTCCAGCTACTTGGAAGGCTGAGGCGGAAGGATCACCTGAGCCCAGCAAGTCAAGGCTGCAGTAGCCCTGAGTGTGCCACTGCACTCCAGCTTGGGAGACAAAGTGAGACTCCAACTCCAAAAAAAATAAAATAAAATAGTAAACTGAGTTCGGGAAATGTTATGAGGGCCATAAAGCTCTCCAGCACCCTAAGAAATGAAATGGCATCTGGAGAGTCCCAAAGATATAAGGCATTTTTAAAAAGTATAAATCAGATAAAATTATTCCTTTGTTTTAACGACTTCCTATTTGTACCTGAAATGAAATCTAAACTCCTTGAAATATTGGGTATCATAGAGCTTAATCTTGAGTTCTTTTTCTACACTCTTTTCCCAGGTGATGTTTTAGTATCCATGCATTTAAAATGCTATCGTTAGAGTGATGACATCCAAATTTATATCTCTACTCAGACTGTTCCACTAAACTCCACATTGCTTACTTAATATCCTCACAGTTGTGACATGATAAAAATTTAACATGAGAAGACAAAACTATTATTTTTCCTCAAAGTTGTTCATCTGCCCCCCACCCAGCCTTAACTACCCGGAAACTTGATTATTTTCTTTCCAGATCCTACCCACACTGCCCTACCCCTCTTCTTCCAGTAAAAATCTATCAAAAAATCTTGGTGATTTTTATCAAACCATATCTTATTCTGCCTTCTTCCATTTCTACTGCCATCACCTTAGACCAAGCATTATCACCTCTGTCCTCAGCTACAGTAATAAATCCCAGTTAGTTTCCCCACCTCCATCCTTGTTCTCCCCAAACCATTCTCCACATCTGGGCTAAAGTAATATTAAAACAGGTCATGTCACATCTCTAGTTAACTTTTTTTTAATGCCTTTCTACTGTACTTGGAACAAAATGCAAATCCCTTCCAATGGCCTACAAGGGCCCACACCAATCATCTCTATCTTGTCTCCAATTTCATGTCATACTACTGTCTTCCTACCCACTGTGCTCCAGTCCTGCTGGCCCACTTTTCTTTCCTTCATCATGCCATGTTCTTTCCCATCTCTGGGAGCCTCAGAAGATACCATTCCCTCTATCTAGAATGCTCTTGCCTCACTCTTCATGTGACAAGTGCATTCTCTTTCCTGGAAGTCAACTGAAATGTCACCTCAGAGAAGCCTATTTTGACCACTCTACATACCCTCTCTGTTAATCACTATCTCAACAGCTTGTTTGTTTTCTAATGTATTACTTATATAGCTTACAATAATTTTTTTTTTTGCTTTAAAAAAAAAATAAAACTGCCGGGTGTGGTGGCTCCTGCCTGTAATCCCAGCACTTTGGGAGGTGGAAGCTAGAGGATTGCCTGAGCCCAGGGGATCGAGACTAGCCTTGGCAACTTGGTGAGACCTCGTCTCTGCAATAAAGAAAAATTAGGTGGGTGTGGTGGCACGTGCCTGTAGTTCCAGCTACTTGGAAGACTGAGGCAGGAGGATTGCCTGAGTCAAGCATGTCGAGGCTTGGTGGTAGTGAGAGTGCCACTGCACTTGAGCCAGCACAACAGAGTGAGACTCTGACTCAAAAAAATAAAGTAATAATAATAATAACCATTCTTTTCCACTATACTATAAGCTTCAGTGTTCAGGAACTGAGTTTGTTTGGTCTTCCGGTTCTAGAATCCTGGTGGGCATGAAGGAAACACTCAGTAAATGAATGATGACCTCCAATTTGGGAATGGTCTCTTCTGTTTTTGGCACCCAAATGGCCCATTTTGTTGTTTGCTTTTTCTGTGTTAAATCTTGTGTCTCAACTCACCTGGATCTGAGGTTCTCAGATGTATTTTAGGTTTTCTAAGCAACCAGGATGGGAGACCCCCCTGAGACAAACAAAGACAACAAAGAAACATGTATGCTTTGTTGTTTGGGGTTGGGGTGGAGAAGAAAAGAAGGGAGGGAGTTGAGTATAGCGCTGGAAATGGCCTAGAGTGGGCAATGGGAGTAGCCTAGGAACTGCATATGAGTAGCTCAGGTTCTATCCCTCCTCCAGCTAACTCACCATCTCCCACTCTGCACAGATGTAAGGTCCTGGTCTCAGAATGACCAACAGGTCTGCTAGAGCTGCCTCATTCAGAAAGGCAATGAGGTCTCGGCTGCCATTAAAGTTATAGACCCCAGGCTGTGGCTCATGATAGTTCCAGGGCACGTAACTGAGAAAGGAAGAGGTTAACAGGATCCAAGGTGGGGAGACGCCAGGGACGCCTAAAGGCCCACGCCTTGAAGGGAATCTCCAGGAAGGGCTGGAAGGCGGTCCTTTGCCCTTTCCCACCTTTGTCCTAGGAGTCCTGGAGCTCTAACCCCTCTTGAAACTGAGCCAGTCTTCCTGTCCCGACCCTCTTCCTAAGGGGGTCGGGGTAGGAAGAGTAAACCCCAAGCCCCTCACGAGCACTTCTTACAACTGTACGGCGTTGAGGCCGCTCAATCGCATCTTCCAAAGCCGGTCTGCCCAAAGCACCCGCGGTACGCGAAAGTAGTGCAGGCTGCCTGACACATAGCGGAAGGGGGCCCCGTCCAGGAGGAACCTGTCATGATCCCGATCCACTACGAACGACCGAGGGTCTGCCTGCAAAGGGAAAGACGGTGCTCGTCAGAGGTCTGAAGTGAGGGTCGAGGGTCAGCGTCTGCCAAGAGCGGAGAAGATGGAACTAGCACTGCCGGTTGTTTTGTTGTTACTTTTGACTGTCTCCCATCCTCTGGATCTGTTCCCGCTTTACCACACCAGGCCGGCTGGTTCAACCCTCTCATCGTACCTGGGACAGCAGCAGCGTCAGGAGCGGCAGCAGCAGGGAGTGAAGGACGGCTGGCTTCTTGGGAGCCATGGCGCTTACAGGGCTAGTCCGAGAAGGCGGTCAGGCCGTCACGTGTCGGATTCCTGGGAGGGAACCTCAGCGAGCAAGGGGGCGGAGACCACCAAGTTGCCCAGTGGTTAGCCTAGACTCTCCAGTCTGCAGCCACCCGCTACTCTACAAGTTTGTAAAATCCTCTACATCTTGCTATTCAAAGTGTAGTTCATGAACCAACTTTATCAGCGTCACCTGGGAGCTTGTTAGAAATGCAGAATCTCAGGTTCTACCTCAGACCTATAAAATGAGAAGTTGTATTTTAACAAGATTCCCAGGCGATCCTAAGCACTTTCAAGACTGAGAAGCATAGACAACTCCCTGAGGGCGGGAAGTGCCTTGTCTACCTTGAATCCTCAGCTAGAAGTTAAATCTAGAAGAATGAATATCAGAACCAAGGGACTAAAACGTTCAGAACCAAGGGAAACTGTCAGAAAATCTTCACACTGATCTAGGGCATGAAGGGGGAACCAGGTTACAAAACAGTCCTTTTCCTAGGGAGAGAGACCTGTTTCAAGTAAAAGAAGTCTTCTTTGGAAGTAAAAGTCTTCTTTGGAAGTGTATCCCTCCCCAGTTTATCCCTGCCTGCCCAGGCAAGAGATGTCAAGGACAATTGCTTGGTGTCAAGGCTTGGGAATTTGTGAATTTTCGTTCCTCCTGCCTTCACAGTCCCAAGCCTGGGATGTGAGGGGGTAATAATAATTATTATTATTACTGTTTATTGACACGGAGGACTAAGCACTTTACATCTCATTTAATCTTCAGACAACTCTGTGAGGAAGATAAGTATCATTCTCATTTTACAGACGAGGAAACTGAAGGACAGAAACATTAAGTAGCCTGTTTAAGTCAAACAACTATTTTAGTAGAGCTAGGATTTGAACTAGACAGTCTGAACTTACGGTAAAGCATTTAACCTTAGGTACTATTATACCTCTTTTATAGCTATGGAAAGTGAGGATCCAAGGGATTAAGTAACTTGCCCAAGGTCACACAGCTAGTATGCTGTTAAGACTGGGTTTAGAAAATGGCAATCTGGTTCAGGAGTCTGAGATCTTAACCACTGAGACTAGGGGTAGTGGGATACAGGCCAGAGCCCCGAAAGCTGTACAAGACTAGAGCCCCTGGAGTCCATGTCGCCGGCACCCGCCCTTCCCTGGATGCCACTCTTGGCTGGACTGTAGTAGGCAGCTCTCTGGCCCCAGCGCGCCGGCGGTACGAGGCCGCCTACCTCAGACATTGGGAGCCGGAGGTCCCGGGGGCTTCGGGCCGAGTCCGACTTTGATCCTCTTTGGCGCAGGTGCCTGGGCCCTGGGACCCGTCTGTGCTCCGCGCCCTCACATCATCCGGATGCCCAGCGGTTGCTAAGATACCGCGGGCCGTTACGCCGGCGCAGACTGATGATGTCACTGCCGCTTCCGGTCCCTGGTGCGTCGCTCCTTCTTGAGCCAGGTCAGTGGGGACTCCAGCCTGGCCGACTCTGCGCTCTGCGCCCCGAGGTCAGGGGTGGGCTCGGCAAGGATTGGGTCCGAGCCTCGCACCTCCACTGAAACTACCCTGTACCCTTCTTTTGCGGCCCAACGGGCGTGGGAGCGGGACTGCCCAAAGGTGGGCTGGGTTGGGTGGAGGAAGCGGCCTGGAAGTCGTTGCGTGTCCTGAGGCTTTAAGGCACCGGACCCTAGCCTGTTGGAGCTGGCGTCTCCAGGGCCCGCTTTCTCTAGACGGGATTATAGGTTCCGAGATCTGGACCTGAGCTCTCCGCATTGGTACTTCAGGGGTCGTCTGGATTGTGCGGACCTGCGATTCTGCTGTTGTTTTCCTTTCAGCATGATCTGCGGGGCCCCAGCGCATCGCCTGGAAGAGCCCACTCACCCTGGACGAACCCTTCCTTAGCCTCAGACCGTCCTTGATGAGGATGACTGAGACATTATGGGCCACGCGCTGTGTGTCTGCTCTCGCGGAACTGTGGTCATTGACAATAAGCGCTACCTCTTCATCCAGAAACTGGGGGAGGGGTGAGTGTTTGGAAGTCACTTAGTTAGTCCCCAGGGTTATGATCATTGAGGGACAGCAGTCTGCACATTTAGAGGCACAAGAGTTTTATCCCTGTACTCTGACTCACCTGACAAGAGTGTAGCTGCATGGTAGTCAAGAATGTGGATTCTGGAGCCAGATCCCCTACATCCACCTTGTGCCACCTTGATAAGCCGTTTTTTTTGTTTTGTTTGTTTTTCCTTCATCTGCTTAATGGAGATGATGATCGTGTCTCACTGTTGGAGTTGTGAGAATTAAAGATAATGTATATGAAGTGTCTCACCCAGTGCCTGGTTCACAAGCACTTGATACATGTTGGCTGTTATTCACTTAATATTTACTGAGCATCTGTTATGTGCAGGGCACTGTATTATGACCATAGGACCTCAGAGATTTCTATATCCTTGTTCTTGAGGAGCTCAAAGTGTAATAATGATCAGACTTCTCATAGTTTTGCATCTTGGGAGGTTTTTTCTAAATGAGAGAGACAACTCCCAGCCCCAGGGAATTTCTCTGGGTCCAAGCCATGTGGGAGATGACCATGGTCCTTCACTGACCCCTTTGGCCCACAGTGGGTTCAGCTATGTGGACCTAGTAGAGGGCTTACATGATGGACACTTCTACGCCCTGAAGCGAATCCTGTGTCATGAGCAGCAAGACCGGGAAGAGGCCCAGCGAGAAGCGGACATGCATCGCCTTTTCAATCACCCTAACATCCTTCACCTCGTGGCTTACTGTCTAAAGGAGCGGGGCCCTAAGCATGAGGCCTGGCTGCTGCTACCCTTCTTCAAGGTCAGAAAGACTCCTGATTATGGAGGGGGTTTCGACAGAGCTGCCTACCAAGGGCTATGTGAGCAGTCAAGTGTGTAAAGTAGCATGAGCCATGTCCTTGGTTTGGCCACTTTAGATTTGGAGTCTGAGGTGTGTGTGGTAAAAGGGTTGATAGGCTTTGACATAGGGAAGGGATCAGGCCCAGGGGACAGGGGCTCCAAAAACATCTCCAATTTTGGGGAAACTTGTGTTGCAGAGAGGTACTCTGTGGAATGAGATAGAAAGACTGAAGGACAAAGGCAACTTCCTGACTGAGGACCAAATTCTTCAACTGCTGCTGGGTATCTGCACGGGCCTTGAGGCCATTCATGCTAAGGGTTATGCCCACAGGTCAGTGGAGGACCCTGTGTACTTACTGGGGCTGAGAGGAAGAACCTCACCAAGAGAAATGGGAGGTCTCTGCTCTTTTCCCAAGAAACAGCCTGCATGATTCTTCTGCTCTCTGGGATTCCAGCTTTCCTGTCAAGGATGCTCATGAGTCATTTCCACTTCCCTTCAGGGACCTGAAACCCACCAATATCTTGCTTGGAGATGAAGGGCAGCCAGTTTTAATGGACTTGGGTTCCATGAATCAAGCACACATTCATGTGGAGGGCTCCCGCCAGGCCCTGACCTTGCAGGTAAGAGAATCTCCAGGTTCCTTTGCCCACCTGTTCCCCATCCCCAACCCTTTCTTGGTGCATGCCCCAGTTTGGTCACATGACCATGGCCATGCCCTACTTTTGAGCTCTGAGGCCACTGTTCCAGGACTGGGCGGCCCAGCGGTGCACCATCTCCTACCGAGCCCCAGAGCTCTTCTCTGTGCAGAGTCACTGTGTCATCGATGAGCGGACTGATGTCTGGGTGAGGAGCGTGTGGGTGGGAATTTGAGTGGGGAGGGGTGTAGCTCTGTGCCTACTGAGAAATAGAGGAGTCGGTCTCTGGTTTCTGTTGCATGGGGCCCCAGGAACCATGTTATGTCCCCATCTACTTCAACTTCCTTCCTAAGAACTGTCACTGTCCACTGTACCAATTGCACAGGAAGTGGTTTAACCCCTACCCCCTGAACAGGGTGGGTACAGTTCAGTGTTGGTACTGAAGGTAGTGACTAAGCAATGGCTAAATAGGCCTCCAACTTACTGGCAGTTTCTCTGGGCCCTGGTAGTGCCATGTGGCTGAAGTCAGCATATTCTTTTTAGCTTATGCAGTCTCCTTTGACCACAGAAGGGGTTAAAAGGCCCCTTCAGGGACTAACGAAGTTATGCTCAGTCCCTAGGCTGTGTGCTATATGCCATGATGTTTGGGGAAGGCCCTTATGACATGGTGTTCCAGAAAGGTGACAGTGTGGCCCTTGCTGTACAGAATCAACTCATCATCCCACAAAGCCCCAGGTGAGCAAGCAGTGAGAGGGGCACCAGGCATTTCACTTCCTCTTGGGATTAGCTGAGTCGGTGCCTCAGCAGGGGGGTGGGGTTGTCCAGTCACCCTACCCTCCTCCCTTCACAGACACTCTCCAGCGATGCGGCAGCTACTGGCCTCGATGATGACTGTGGACCCCCAGAAGCGCCCTCATGTTCCTCTCCTCCTCAGTCAGCTGGAGGCACTGCAGCCCCCAGCTCCTGGTCAGCACATTACCCAAATCTAAACAAAGCAGTGGCCCTTGTGCCTTGGAAAGAGGCTTCTATCCCTCATGGGACTCTCCATCCATTCTACCTAGGACTGTTTTCTTACGGTTGGAGGCAGAGGGGTGGGGACATTCATCTTAGTCCTACGCCTGCTCTTCTGCTTTCTTTCCTTAAAGAGCAACACTTGGGTAAGGGGCCTTACTGATTGGGAGTGGAGTGGGAGTTGGGAAAAGGGAAACTGATGGGAAATGATACATGGCTCTGAGCAGGACTGCTGAGCTCACATCATGTTCTGCCTCCAAATCCAGGAGCAGGAGAATGTATAGACAGAAGAATAAAGTAAAAGCAGGTTGGTGTGGATCTTAGTCTATTCAGTGTTCCTGGAGCGAGAGAAGAGGTGCAGGGGGTCCAAAGTCTGTTTGCCATTTCCAAGGGAACAGCTTGGGAAGAAGAGGGACTATAGTCAGCAATGGTGTGATTTCATCATTCCACGTAAGGAGGCTGATGTCCTTAACCTTCCTCTGGCTGGTTGGCAGTGGTAATTCTTCTAGCTTGTCATAGTAAAAACTTAGAGCTTCCCTGGCTTAAGCTGGCTTCTACCTGTGCCAGAAACTGGGAACAGTGCCCCCCAGAAGCAAACTCAACTAGTTATTTCCTTCCTTCACTACCAGGGGTGAGTAGCTTAGTCAAAGCAGCCCAGCCAGTATGCCAGGCACAAGGGCCTCTGGGTGGAGACACATGAAGCAGCTTTGGAACAACCATATTATCGGTCTCCTATCCTCAGCCTGGGGCAAGGGGAGTGGAGGGGGCAGCCATTTTGGCTCATGTGCCCCCGATGGTTCTAGCTTATACATGGTTAATGATTAATGAGGCAATGTGGTGTGGCAATATCTAGCTGCCACTTCCTGACTACTCTGCTGAGTAAACAGGGGCCCTGTCTTAGCTGGGCCTGAAACCTGTTCTCGAGGGAAGGGCACTGTGTCCCTGACTCACCAGGGAGGAGAGGCAAGGGCAGGGTTGGCATCTCCTGCTCTTGTGATCCAAGCTTCCTCCCCTCAACCATGCCCACCCCACATGCTGATGTCAGCATGAGTCCTGGGGTGCCTATTAGCAAAGTTGAAATTTTCCCCAGGACCCTAGTATGAGGCTCCCACCAGTTAGCACGGCGGCTGAGACCAGAAAGAAAGCACAAACAAGGGAGACGACCTGACTTTTAATGGCACAGCCACAGCAAGGCAGACAGGAAGCTATGCAGAGCTACTTGGAGGTGCAGTGGCACAAACAACTCTAGGAGATCACCATTGTTCTCTCCCATCCCCCAAGCTTGTAACGTGGCTCCATGCCCAGGAACTCTGGGCTGGGCCAACCCCACTCCCAAAGCCTCATAATGCACAGAGGAGCCCAGCCAAGCCTTGCTTCCAGAGGTGGTGAATGCAGAGGCAGCAGGAAGAGCAGGGTAGCAGTCCAACTTTCAGATACAGAAACTACTGGATTAAGCTGCTTGGAAAGGAAGTGAAGACTCATATCCTTCAATAGTCTGTAGCTGGACAGACAGGTCCAGGATTTGGTCCTCATTTCCTCCCTATCCTGGGTGTCCCTAGGACCTTACCTCAAGGTCCCTGGGATCATGCTTCCTGGGCCTGGCAAGGGTCCCTTGGCAGGTCCCACCTTCAGCCATGGAAGGGAAAAGGGCCATGAGCAGCAAACAGGGTGGCGGCAGTGGCAGCAGCAGCAGAGGCAGGAGCAGCACAAAAGGGAAGGCAGCAGAAGCAGAACTCACAGAAGGGACAAGAAACCGTGCAAGCAGACTGTTTATTTTTAGAGGATTTTGCAGTAAACATAGTGAATAGACTCCAGACAACTGTTCTACTCTTCTCCTTCATCTTCATCCTCATAGGAGTCGATGCCTACTTCCTCATAATCCTTCTCCAGGGCAGCCATATCCTCCCGGGCCTCAGAGAACTCACCCTCCTCCATGCCCTCGCCCACATACCAGTGCACAAACGCCCTCTTGGCATACATCAGGTCAAACTTGTGGTCCAGGCGGGCCCAGGCCTCGGCGATGGCGGTCGTGTTGCTCAGCATGCACACGGCACGCTGCACCTTGGCCAGGTCACCCCCAGGCACCACAGTGGGCGGCTGGTAGTTGATACCAACCTTGAAGCCCGTGGGGCACCAGTCCACAAACTGAATGCTGCGCTTGGTCTTGATGGCGGCGATGGCGGCGTTGACATCCTTGGGCACCACATCTCCACGGTACAGCAGGCAGCAGGCCATATACTTGCCATGCCGGGGGTCACACTTCACCATCTGGTTGGCAGGCTCAAAGCAGGCATTCGTAATCTCTGCCACTGACAGCTGCTCATGGTATGCCTTCTCTGCAGAGATGACTGGCGCATAGGTGGCCAGGGGGAAGTGGATACGAGGGTATGGCACCAGGTTGGTCTGGAACTCTGTCAGGTCCACATTGAGGGCCCCATCGAAGCGTAGAGAAGCTGTGATGGAGGAGACGATTTGACTGATGAGGCGATTGAGGTTGGTGTAGGTTGGGCGCTCGATGTCCAGGTTGCGGCGACAGATGTCATAGATGGCTTCGTTGTCCACCATGAAGGCACAGTCTGAGTGCTCCAGGGTGGTGTGAGTGGTCAGGATGGAGTTGTAGGGCTCCACCACAGCTGTGGACACCTGGGGGGCTGGGTAGATGGAGAATTCCAGCTTGGATTTCTTGCCATAGTCAACAGAGAGCCGCTCCATGAGGAGTGAGGTGAAACCAGAGCCAGTGCCCCCACCAAAGCTGTGGAACACCAGGAAGCCCTGAAGTCCTGTGCACTGGTCAGACTGAAAGGTAAGAAAAAGAAAGAACAACTTAGATAGGGGAGGGGCCTGAGGGACTCTATCTCTGGCTGCACAAAGCCTAAAATAGCTCAGAAGTCAAGGCAAAGACTAATGAGTATGCCGTAGCATCACATTCTGGAAAATGTACAGTTAGAGATGACCCCTGAAATGTATCTGAAAAAAATGTGGCTGATCATTAGCATGGTGTCAAAAGCTCCCTCCCTTCCAAGACAGATTCTCACCAGCTTGCGGATCCGGTCCAGTACTGGGTCAATGATCTCCTTGCCAATGGTGTAGTGACCACGGGCATAGTTGTTGGCCGCATCCTCTTTCCCAGTGATGAGCTGCTCTGGGTGGAAGAGCTGTCGGTATGGGCCATTTCGGATCTCATCTGAAAGGGCATAAACCACAGTTAGAACAAAAACCACAAGACTGCTCAGCAGGGGCCTTCCTCCCCCGGAGGGTGGGGGTGGGGGTGCTGCAGCCAGATGTATGCAAGGGTTCATCCTTCTGCCAGCTTGAGATACCAGCATACGAGATACCCAGCCCTGTGGCCCAGGCCAGCCTAAAACCAGCTTGCCTTCTGCAGCTTCAAGACCAGGAGTCTTCAGGGCCAGGGAGCCAGGTTTAAACACTCTCTCCAGAGAGAAGCTTTGAGTCACTCTCCTCCACCCTCAATTTTGCCCCCTCTTCCTCTCACCAATTACAGTGGGCTCCAGATCCACAAAAACTGCCCGGGGAACATGTTTTCCAGCACCGGTTTCACAGAAGAAGGTGGTGAAGGAGTCATCCCCTCCACCAATGGTCTTGTCACTGGGCATCTGCCCATCAGGCTGAATCCCGTGTTCCAGACAGTAGAGCTCCCAGCAGGCATTGCCCATCTGGACACCTGCCTGGCCCACATGGACTGAGATGCATTCACGCTGAAGGATAAAGAGGGGGGACACAGCATAAGTCCCATAGCCCCAAGTCCTCACCTCGAGCCTCTCTCCCACACTGTCATCCATCAGCTAGGATGACTCAATTGGCAAGAGTGGAGGACTGGAGCTGGAGAGAGGTGAGCAGAGGAGCCTGCCCAGCCTCCCCAGTAGGCACCTGGTAGGGCAGGCCAACCTCTGAGCCTACTTCCCAGCGGGGAATTTGTCAAGTGAGAGCTGTAGCTCCATGTGACCCTGCCACACTCATAGGACACTCAAGGAGGACAGAGAGCAAGTGCCTATAAGGCAGGCGGACACTGCAGTAACTGAGACAAAGATAAGAGACTCCAGCTTCTCCCGATCCCTACTGCCCATAAACCCAGCTTCTCAAGACCCTGAGAAGGGGTGGAAGGTTTTCCAGAGGTGCGAGTTTATGGTTAGAGGCCACCACCTGCTTGATTAATTCTTTGAGTATGACCGACTGGAATGTCATATAACCCTTTCCTCCTTCCCTGTGGGCTGCAGAGGTGTCTCAGCCTTCCAGTCTGGCATCAAGTGACCACCGGCAGCCATCAGGAGGCCCTCTTCCCTCACCTTTAAATCCCATCTGGCTCTGAGGATCAATCCCATCTGGTTTCTCTCCACCCCTGCACCCTGGGTGTTTCCGCCACCTTCATCTACCTTGCTTGTCAGCTCACTCAGAAATCGGAAATCGCAGCAGTAATAATGCTTGCAGGCACAGAAGGCAGGGAGGCAAAAAGGGCTGTGGGCACTGGGGCACGCACTGCCTTGGGCTCCGTCCTTGCTAGCCCTAAGTTAACCCCTAAAGCGTCAAAGTCTACAGGACCCACGCGCCTCCCTTCCCTTCTCCCCACCCCGAAATGGCGGGGTGAGGTTTCCAAATACCCAGAAAAGGAAGCGGAACCTGCGGTGGGGCCCCAGAGGTAACCTGCCCTGCCCTGAGCGGGGTGAGCGCCATCCTGCACTCCAGCCCTACATCCTCTCTCCCTCTGGAGTCTTTCCAGTCACATCCCAGCCGAAAGCGGGGATTGGATTTCGGCCCCCGCTCCTGGGCTATAAATACCACCCCCTACACGCACCTCGCTCCCCTCCCCCCAACCTGGCCTTGGCCCGCGCGGTCGCTCAGCGCCAGCTGTCTCTGCCAGTCCGTGCACCCGCGCTCCGGCTGGAGGGGAGCCGGCTCGCCTCACGAGGCCGAGCCCCATTCCC